TGGCTTGTAACTTCCTTTCGTCTCATATTGTATGTCAAAGGGATTTTAATGCGGTAATGATCAACCGTTGTTAGATACTTACTCTAAAGTTATCAGAATTCTTTTATTTATTAATAAACAATTTTTATACGACTTTAAATGAAAAATAAGCTGACACGCCACTTCATAGAAAGTTGTATGTGACCATTGCCTGTATCTAGACATGAACAATGTTTGATGCATGCAACTAAAAGAGACATGCAAATAATTGTGGTTTTTCTTTTGCTATTTTTGCTTTTTTCCTACAAAGATGATTCTCTGTAAATATTTGAACTTCGACAACGACGAAAAAATGGCGACCGTCTTTTATAGAATAAGTAAAATCTAATGAACTAATTCCTATTGAAACAGTGTCAGATTTACCTCCGCATAATCCACATACTCTACATCATTTCTAGCGAAAACCATCATGTTCAATTCTTAATAAATTCGTAACTATTGTTACGAATTTATTCTCACCTGTCATCTTTTGGTCGTGTGACCGTGTCGTCCCGGCATAGATCAGGCCACCTCCTCCTATCCCGAGGGTGTCGTACGAGTCGACTAAGGAGGGTGAGGGATGGGCAGCAGCGTCCCTCTTAGAATATCTCTAAAGCCTGACTGCTTTGCCAATCCGTTTACCAAGCGTAGCAACTGGCAAAACCTACCATGGGGGATGCTTATGTTCAGCAGTGGACAGTTAAAGGCTGATACGATGATGATGATGTAATCTTTTATTTGTACCGCAGCAGTACAAACAAATAGCGTAAACGGAGTTATCATATTGTTTTTATTCATTCAAAAAATATTCGTATTTTAGTTACCTATATAAATTTATATCTGTAGGTCAGTGTTTAGTCACCATAGCAATTAAAACCATGAAGCAGCTTTATATAATCCAATTTCAAAGACACACCGAAACGCTTCTCGGAACCTGTGCAAAATCTGTTAGTTTAGGAGATAGCTGTCCTGCAGTTATATATAGTGCAGTCTAGTGAATAGACGCCACTGCAATGTAACTATTAAATAACACATTTTTGCACTCAAAATTGTGTATGCGGTCGACAGACGGAAATAAGATAAACTAAAAGAGTAACAGAGTGTAGAAGAACGTACTTGCAAAATTATATCCCGAAAGTAATTTTTTTTTTTATGTAATTTAGATTGACCTCTAGTTAACTAGTTTATATAACAATGATTTTTCATTTTTTGATTGACAATTATCACAGTGTTTCGACAGAATATTGTGTTGTTTCGCATATTTTTCTGAAATTCTTGTGACCGAGTGAATCAAAATATAAGATGCAAGCAGCGGTGGCATTAATGCGTAAGTAACAGTAGTAAAATTTAATTTATGTACAACTATAATAATAATTTTAGTTAACCCTGTTCGCCGCACTATAACTGTTAAATTTCTAGCTTTGACTTCCACGAGACAGGCTTTACCTAGTTTGGGGTCATAGTTATATTGTACTACAGGCTAATTTTGTTTAAGGAAATTAAGTTATTATTATTATTAATTTGATTATAATTATACTCATATCCCTTCTGACAATATGAAAAGACGTGCTAAAGTCTCTCAGTGTACAGAGTACACTGAGAGACTTTAGCACGTTTTTTTATGCGTTCAGATATAGAGTTTTTATGTTTTTTAAGTATATTAGCTTTGTGTACCTACATTATTGTGTATTTTGGTTGTATTTTGTACTTTTATCTGAGTGCTTAAAACACAAATATTCAAAATAATTATCTATATATCGATCTAAATGGAATAAAATATTATGCCTCCGGTTCCAGTAATTTCGCTATCATATCTTGCCCTTCAAATCGAAATACAGTGATACAAATGATTGGCAGTAGAAATATAAACCAATAGCGCAGGTAGAGTCACCGTTCGGCTACTTCCACAAACAAATTAGGGACTTCAGACGAAAGAATACTTTATTTCTTTTTAACAAGGTCTACTTGCTTTTGCTTGTAATTTCGTTCCCGTGCATTTTGGAATTGGGTAACCGCTTCTGAATAGTATATCAAGATAAAACATTTACAAAACTTGAAATTAAACTTTCAGAAAAATAACTGTGAACATCGCATCCAATTTGATTCAGTACTAGTAGTGCAGTACGGTAGTTTTTGCGTGATTTAAAACAAACATATAGACAAATAAGAATAAAAAAATTCAGATTTGGCTTCTATTGTCCATATTAAGATCCTTATATAAATATTTCCGAAATATATTCTATGTACCAACTTTAGATTATATAGATAGAGCATGAAGTCTAAAAACGGATCGACTTTTTAAAAAACAATGTTTTTTTTAACAATGTTCTATATACTTACGCACATAATGTATCTTCACGTATTATTTAATAAATAAAATGTATATTTACGTATTAAAAAGACGTAGAAAATATAAGATAAAATAAATACAGAAGTTTTAGAGAATCACTCACAACTGTTTACTACGCAAACTTGTATGAAAAAGTTGACCCACTTTTCTCGAAGCATTTCTATGGAGACACTCTATCTATATAACCTAAGATACCAACAACATCTAATTACTATTTTATTTTATGTATATAAATTAATAATATATATTTTTTCATCGCACTAATGACCAGCTGAACAATACATCTATTTTACTAATAATGGCACATTTCTTGATACAACATTGTAATTTATTTTACAGATACCCTATTTTAGTAATATAAAACATGTTGTTTACTGAATCTTGTACTATTTTAATATAGCGAAACTGCACGAAAATATGTATCTAATAGAAGGCATTAGTGTCTAAGATACAGGCTAGGCCTAGTTTAGACACTAATGTGCTGGGCATAATGCTACATTTTATACACATATAATTCACTTTGAAATTTCTGTAAGCCCATGACTGTATATTTTTATGTGCAATAAATATTTATTATTATTATTAATAATAAACGTTATAATTATTTGATATATCGCAATAATCATATCGAACAAAATAATAATAAGCAAATATATTGTACTGACATCTTTTTACGAAGCCCGGCTATGACAGTTAATAGGGATCAGCGAAATGGGAAATGTACTTCGTCCACTTCAAATATTATAATAGAACAAAGATAAAGAGATAATGGCTAATTCCTTTAACAAAAACAGACTTATTTAGCAAATATTCTCAATTAAATCGCCTGTGCAATAGTAATCAAACAAAATTTTATATTTCTTTTTATACAACTTAGAATGACAAACAAACTGACGGCCCACCTGATAAAAAGTGGAAACCGTCGCCTATACACATAAGCAGTACCATGGACATAACAGAGTATACTGTTTCGCCCATGATACCCCCCATGCGTTGCTATTCCTGAGGAGATGTTATTCCTCTGTACCCTGTAAATTCACGGCACATCCCACCCTTCAAACCGAAACACAGCCATGCAAACACAACTGCTTCACGATAGAAACACGAATGGGACAGAGGGGTCCAAGCAATCGACTTTTGTACAAAGTCTCCCTCTAGTTATTGGATATTTCAGTCCCCATTGTATTTGCATCGCTCGCGGCTTTATTTTTTTTTAATGAGTATAAATGAAATGGAATCCCATCTGCGCCATTAATACACGCCGTTGAGACACACCAGCGAGAGAAGCAGAAGGGCTACAAGGAGCTCAAATTACACGAAAGCTCAAGAAGTAACTTTTTCTTTTCGGATTTATAAATTTTGGAGTATAACGTTAAAAATTATAGTAATTGGTATTTAAAATTATTTATTATTTTAAGATGATACGTCCTTGTCTAATTATTTGAGTACTCCATTTTTTTTTCTCCTCATATATTAATTGTAAAATGCAAATAAGCCATTGTATTTTTAATTTATTCCTTTTATGAAATCGGTTCCAAGCATAAGTCTTTAAAAACCTTCACAAAAGTAGTTTACTTACTATTATTACTGAGTAATATTTTTATACATACATAGGTATTTGCAAATAACCTCACACATATAGGCGATTTTCGTGCATCTTTTAGCGTGCAGATTTTGAAAACCATTTTGGTTAATTCGCGTCAAACTTGTCACGATGGCCTAACTGACTTGTTTTCATTCGCACCTTTTCACTAGTGGCTCACCAGTAAATACACCGATAGCACAGGTGTGGTTACCATTTCATTATCACCCCTTAAAATAAATCACGGTACAGTACATGGAAAGATACAAGTGGGTATCAGTGTATTTTATAATGCCTATGATTCTGTCCATGTCTATATATAATAGTTGCCATAGTTAAATATTCAGTGAATGTAATGAGGTGTTATTTTAGTATTAATTCAAAGCAAATATACAATTTAATAACATGTAATATAGAACTCTTTTATGCACCATTCGTTAAAGACTCCCAATTTTTAAAGTTAGTTTTAAATCAGCATTTTGACTGATTATTTTATTTTTATATATATTTACTATTTCCTACTTTGTACCAATCGAAGCAATTTTAATAAATTATCTACAAAAGAACTAAAGTACCACAGCCCGAAGAATAAGCAAGCTTAAGTGGCAATAGGCTAGTTACATAGTTCAAAGAACTGACAACCGATAGGGAATAAAGGTTCTTGAGTGGTGACCCCGTACGGGCAAATATAGTATAGGAGACTCCCTACTGAATAGAGTAACAACCTCAAATGCATTGCAGGGAGTCAGTTGATGGAGGTGGCTCCGGACTGTTTCTTATTGAAGTCTATAGGAGAGGTCTATGTCCAGCAGTAAGAGTCGTTAGAAACGACTAAGGGAGGAGAGGGTTGGACAGCAGCATCCTTCTTAAAACATCTCTAAAGCCTAATTGCGGTTGCCAATCCACCTGCCAAGCATGGCGATTACTGGTTTGTTTAGCAGTTTGTTTAGCAGTTTGTTTAGCAGTGGATAGTTAAAGGCTGACATGATGATGATGATGCCCAGCGGTGGATCGATAATGGCTGAAATGATGATGTTTTGTGTCACTTACCATCGATTCTAGAACCGTCTCCATGCCAGTCTTCTTCTGAAACAAACGTTTACAGTATTAGTTAATTGCTACTATTTAATGAAATAAATGGTTCCCAGTTTCAAAACATTATATTTAGGCATATTTAGGAAAATATAATTAAATCAATGAATCAAGGATTGTAGTTTCCTAGTATTGTAAATAATATCAACTATATTATTTATTATATTTTAGGAGAATATTAAGGAGTTTTCAAACGTTATAGATAGATAGATAGATACTCTTTATTGTTTCCTCCAAAAGATAACTAAATAATCGTTCTTCATATAACTAATATAATGAAGTACCGTATCAAGAAGCCATAACACAAATATTACTTTATATTATGGACATCACTTCCCTATTAAAATTTAATAATAATTGGTGGTTTATGTCCACATTTTATTAAAAGAATGGACATAAACGAGAAAAAAATATATAATTACGAGTAATTTATAAAAACCATAAACTAATAAAATAACTACTTAATAATCCAAAACTGATTCAATAAATTCAAAATGCTGACAAGTATAACATTAAATAAATCGAATCTGACCAAATAATATTAAAAAAAAAAGATATTAGGCCTTACAGTAAAAATAAACATCAACCGATATAAAGTGCTATAACTTGACACTTTATGCCCTTTTTATTACCATAAAGAGGCTCGTTGACATAAAAAAGTCGCCAGAGATTAAATAAGTGGCCATAAGGTACATCGATATAACTTTAATGATCTAATGATATTTTAGATACCTGCTACTTGTAATTAAGATAGTGCGTTCATGACGACGTCATTATTCTTTCATTACGTAGTGCTTCTCTGAGAATTTTATTGAAATCAGTGGTAAGAATGTTTATGCTCACGAATTTTTAATGAAATGATGAATGAAGTGAAAAATATAATTAGTGTGATAATTTTTTAACAGTTTTGACTTATATAAACCGTATAGTATTGCTCTCAGTACCCATTCAATGATGAAGCCCAAATCCATCATTCATATAATAAGTCAACCAGCTGCAAACCTTGTCATACGCGAGCGTACAGCAAAAACGCAAACGCAAGTGCTTGGGAACTCAAACCCAATACATAGCACAAAAAAAATCCGTATAGTATTATATAATGTCCATATACTATAAAAAAAGTTAATAATTAAGTTGAGGGTTTTAGTTAGAGTTTTTTTCATAGTTTGGATGAAAGTTTGGAAATAATTTCAATTTGGAGATAAAATATTTGACATTTGGGTAGAAATAGAAAACAACGGTTTAGTAACACCGTTTAAAATTTATTAAACACAACATAAAGTAAGTTATTTTAATATGCAAATGATACTAATTTGATTTTTTTATATATTTTGCGGTATATATTTGATACACAATATATACGCCAACAGTAAGTGCTGATTTCGACAGTAGTGGATATTAGTATGATCGATTAATAATCTAACACTATACATATAAATAAGCACAAAAAAATATTAGAACGAAGTTCTTGAAAATTAATACAGTCCAGCTTTATTAAAAAAAAAAAAAAAAGTTACGAAGCACAACGATCTCAACTTTTACAGAGCCAACGACTCACCATTTTCTCTTCCTTTCCGCTTCTTCTTACCACTAGAACTGGACGACTTGCCGGATTTTTCCGACTTGTCTTTACTCTTCCATCGGCTCAACATTTTCGCACCAGTTCTCACTCCAAGAACAACACACACATCGATCTTCGATCATCGATCGAACTTCGACCACGTTTTAACATTTCGTCAGCAAAATTCAACTCACTTGCAATGTTAATAAGTCATTGTTTCTGATTGTTCAATGCAGGTTTATTTTTAAAAAATCTACTGTGTATATCACTATTTTAAGGTTCATTAGGACACTTATCATTACGGTTAGATATGTATGCGTGTTTCAATTCCGGATTAACTAAGTTTGGTAGTACTGGTGCGGAAGCAACTGTAACCAAAGTATGGAAGTCAAGTAAGTTAAGTAAGCATATACATATTCAAAAGGCAACCGAGTAGTTAGCGCCCATCCCAGAATTGTCTTGTGCCTACCCTGAGAAGCGAGCGGAGCTGTCAACAATGCACGACTAGCCGATATTTTTGAGGCATTTTTTTCAAAAAGTAATCTTAAATATATCAATATAACGATATAAACACACAAAAATTTTACCATCACCATCATTATATCAGACGTTGTCTGTCCACTACTGGACATAGACCTCGGATCAAAAACCTTATGAATTATTCTTCACAATAAAACACGTATTCATAGTGTTTGTGTCACATCTAATCTAAATAGCCGCTATCCATGGTGAGAGCTTTGCTATATAAAATATATCGCTTTAGTAAAATAAAAAGAAATTATGAATAATAAAATAAATCAAATTATTCAAATCAAGATTGATTTTATTTACAGAAACAATGTTTACAAAATTAATAAAAAATGATCGTTATATAATAATAAATGTTGTAAAAGAATTCATCAAACTTTTTTCCTCTTTAACCCATTAAAATTCCATCAGGATATGGATTTCTCCTTTTGAGAGAATTTTAGCTTACGTCATCCTATCAACCTTTTATTGTCCATTACTCAACATAAGCCTCCCCCTTGGAGGGGTTTGCCAGTAGTTACCACGCTTGGCAGGCGGATTGGCAACTGCAGTTAGGCAGTTATAAAGTATCTAATAAATATACAAAGAGAGACGCTGCTGCCCATCTCTCGGCCTGCCTTAGTTGCCTCTTACGACAACTAAGGCAGGGCCAACGGTAGGTAGGTAGGGCAAGGCCAACGGAAAAGGAAGGAGTGACTTATTCTATGCCGGGACCACACAATCATTTAGCCTACGGTTAGCACGTTAACGAGAACGCTTAGCATGGGTTTTATACCAGGCTTTTGTTCTTCTACACTAAAGTACAGTATGTTAGTTCGTTAAATAATACATGGTGTTTGTACTATATTACTACATAGAGAAGCACCGCAGTACTCAATATTGTGGCTGTAACTCACTCAGATAACTCACACGAGATAAAAAAAAAAAACATCGCTACAAAAATAATAAATTGCCTATCATTGATAGGAATTAGAAGCGAACTTTAAAAAAGGGCGAGCAGAAAAAAAACATGGAAAGATTGCTGTGTCACAGGTGTTCCTACCTAATAAAATACATAGAGAAAATCCTAGTATTAGTTAAATCACAGAAATGAGCCAATTAATCAAAATCTAGGGTATAAAAAGCCCACCTTACGCGAATAATAATAGCATTTGCATTACCCGCCGAGTTTAATAGGCCCCTAGCACTGAGGGTGTAATATTAACGGACTTGTATATTTACATTGGAGGGTTATATAAAACAAATTCTATAATGATTTGTGTACACACAGCGGAGTTTTTAAACCCCTAGACGTTTATTTAGTATTCATGTTTATTTTAGGTAATTAATAAAAACGTCCTGAGAGCTTAATTGCTGGGTAAATATTAAACTGAAAAAGTAGAGATAACAATTGTTTTTATATTATTATACAGAGTGAAATTAAAATCATTAGCATTCTTTTAAAGGGTGTTCCTCCAATGAAATTGAATTTTTTTCCGTACAATTGTGGGTCGAAGAATAACAAATATATATCACGTCGTGTCAGTATTCTGGATTCAAATTTATTTGACGATTCTTCATTTGTTTTTTTTTTTTTGAGTAGATACCAATTGTGGAATATTGATGTAAAATGATGTTAATGACCAAACTACCTGTATAGCTTTTATGTTACTGGTTATCCATGAACATTTATATTTAAATTTGCTGTCAATTTTTAAAAATAATTAAATAATATCAATATTCCCAAATCATTAATATGAACTAAAACGTTTATCATAGAACGTTATGTACACGTGTACCTACTTCATGTTTTGTTTCTGAAGCTCTCGAATAATTTTAAATTGCTATCAACGTTCGTGCTTTAAAGCATTCGAACAAGACTAAACATACTAAACATTGATTACTTATAATTTACTTATTTATTGATTTACTTGATAAAATTCTTATAGGATGGTTATTAAATTTAAAATTTTTCCTATGTTTGAAGATTAACACATTTATATTTTATTTATCAACTTTGTCAATATAAGACACCCCCTAGGGAATTTTGCCAGTAGTTACCACGCTTGGCAGGCAGATTGGCAACTGGAGTTTGGCTTTAGAGATGTTTTAAGAGAGGCGCTGTTGCCCATCCCTCGCCATCAGTCGCGTCTTACGACACTCATGGGAAAGAAAGGGGGTTGACTATTCTATACCGGGACCACACGGGACTAACTTCGATAACGCATTTAAATACAAAAGTTCGAATTAAATATAGATTATTCTAAATAAATAATAAAATTATAAAGATGTAATTAGTTATTCAAAGTATACGCTCCTTTTAAACGTCCACCGAAACAAAACCCAATGTTCTAAGTTTCCAAAAATACGAATAAAATCTAATTAATGTTCCAAACGAATTTAAATACGGCAAAGAATATGAAATTATCTCCGGCGGGAAGTTTTAGATTGTAATACTCGTATTTTTAAGGTTACGCGCTAGTATATTCCAACTTTTTTTTTGCCTTATCCGAATTTTAGGTTTACTTACTGACGTTATAATTATTAATTAAACTTTTTATACAAAATAAATACATAGCGACTTTGACATTTTCTTTTACTATGTAACAAATACGAGAGCAAACGCTTTCGATTCAAAAAGAATCATTTAAAAGGAGATAATTGCAAAAGAAGTTCCATACAAGTATCAAAAATATATAAATATATAGATGAATTGAGAATCTTTTGCTTTTGAGTAGTTTAAAAATATTACATAATTATTATGTAATTAAACAAAATATTTGAAACGATTTTTCTTGAGGTCAACCGATTGTTGCACCATTTTATTGTTTATAAATGGGGTTTAAAAATGTTAGTGTTACTAGCTATATTTTAATTTAATTTAGTAATTTTTAATTTTATATATAAAAAACATATTGATAGCTAG